GGTCAGTGCAAGGTCTACAACTTCCGAGGTTCTTGCAAACTGTCTAGTGTATTTCAATTCTTGACCTAGTTGCTGGAGAGAAATTAAATTGAGCCTAGGCACTAGGTAGCACCAGCCTGGCTACTTAGTTTCCCCAAATATGTGGGGAAAAATTGGGTACAGAGCCTTTTATGACTATACTTTAAAGGTACATTATGCAACTTTTCTGAAGGATTGTTGGGTATTGGCTTGTCTTCATGGAGATGCTGTTGCTTCGGTTGAAATTTTCCACTGTATGGCACTAAACTATGCCCATGTAGACAAGCAGGTGACACCAAAAAAGTTAAAAGTCAGATCTGTGGATAGGCAAGCTCACTCACAGTAAGAAAACATTCTTTTCAAGGTATTTTTGAGCAATAAAGACACCTGTAATTGAATAAATGAAAGACCGGTAAGTTTAATGCTACATACTGTACATTCCAGGCAAAACAAAACATGACCATGGATCAAGCAAGTGGTGGATTTAATTTAAAAAGTTACCTGCAGATGAATGTAAAGATAATATTAACCTAACATTTAATTTTTTTATGTGTTATGTTTTTGTTTCCTGATTATAAATTGTTGTTTTGCTTACTAATGTTATCTTGCAGTATCTATGAAGCTCCCGTGAAGTGTTCCATGTTTGATCAGTGTAGTATGAAAATGTCTTGACAATTTGAAGGACACGAGTAAATCAATGCTTGACTCAAATCAAACCTAAAATGTAAAAAAAGAAATATGTTCCTCTGACATTTTAAGTTATGAATATGGTTATTAGACTAAACTGAATTTGATTGGTCGGAAAAAGTATCCACTTAGGGCTGACTAAATGCCTTTTGATTCATTACCATTTTGATGAAATTGCTTTGACTTTGACGAATGACCTGCTATTTGATAAATTCTGAGACATAATTATAATTTAAAAGAGCGACATTTGAGACTTAAACATTAGCTCAAGTATTCAATTTAAGATTTAATTTATGGGTTTCATTTGAGTCTTTCCGATTCATTTGACACTACAATGGCTCAAAGATAGATTCAATTGATACTTTGCAGTGACATCATTCTGGGGGTACTCTACATTCATCTCTATTGAAGAAATATTCAGATGTTACGCATTAGGAAACACAGGCAAAAATGGTTTAAAATCTAATGTTGATGTAATGTTATTGTCTTGTTTAACAGCATAAATCAGCTCTTCTGTTGTTGTAGTTCCAGCTAAATTACTTCTTCGTTGTGTTAATATAAAGCTCAGATTCAGGTATAATAAAGCCACAGACAGAGCAGTGCTTACAGTTGGCATTACAACCCCAGGGAATGTTGATGACATCAGTTGCAAAGTGTCAGTATTACCTTGTCTTTCTCTACACAGCGAAAACTAAAATCCAGCTAAGTTTAAGAAAGTTTTAACATGATTTGAGTAAATTTCACTTGACAAGTAAAATGATCTACCAATGGAACAATATTTTTTGTGCTTTAAATGTGAAAAGAAAAAAAAAATAGATAAATAGATATAGATATATATAGATATAGATATAGATATAGATATAGATATAGATGTGTATATATGCATGTATGTGTGTATGTGCATATATATGTGTACAGTACAAAATGGGGGGAAAAAAAAGTTTTGGGGTTAAAATTATATTTTTGTTTGCATTATATGTAATTTATTTTGCTATATGTAAATATTTGTTAAGTGTGATCAATGTACAGAAGCAACCACATATATTTTTAAACTATGTCATGACTAGTGGTGGGTTCATATAAGTTTTTCTTCTACCCACTCCTTTTCGAGAAATGTGCTTTTCTTCTGTTGTTTACAATGTATATGTAGTATACATGATTATTGTTTCTCTCTTGGCACAGACTCTAATTAAAAATGAATGAATCAATCAATCAATCAAAAATACATCTTGCTTAGGGTGAGCAGATGTCCCTATTTACCCGGGACAGTCCAAGTCTTGAGCGCTGTGTCCCCTGTCCCAGCAGATTTATACAAAACCACTGATTTGTCCCAATTTTATATAAGAAATATCCCTGGTATTTCTTTTTTTTTTTTTTTTGACAAATTTGATCGATGCCAACTGTAAAGAGAATCATAAATTGTCATTTGTTTAGGTAAAATACAGAAAAGGATGCTTAAATTACCAAAACACACAAAAAATCTGACTATGCTGACTCACGTGTTAGTCTTAAAACATGTTTTCTTAATTACGTGCTCTTTTCACAGTTTTATTATTACCAACCAACACAAAACTGGTGGTGTCCCAGTTTTTAATTTTGAAAATCTGGTCACGCTAATCTTGCTACACGTAAGATAAGAAAAACAGGAACTTTCTGTACTTAAAATAAGACAAAGCGACAATAACAAAATCTAATGTTGCTTGAAATAAGAAAAACACATTTCTATAACCCAGTGGCGGAGTTAGCGATTTGGAGGCCCTAGGCGAACTTGAGTTTTGGGTCCTCACTATAATGCACCATTTTTTTTTTTTTTTTTTTTTTTAAAAATATATTTATTATTTGTTTTCCCTCATTATTCTTGACGTATGCACATCTTTATTTATTTGAATAATGGTGGATTGGAAACTTATTCTTATTAGTTCGTTCCCCGACTAGGTAACCAGAACTGAAAGTAGTTTTATTTTTTTGCAAGTACAATTATATTTTTTTGTTTACATCCATTACATATGATTATTATTAGTAAGCTACTCTCATTTATTGTCATATTGAGAGAAAATCTAATTGCCCTGAAGCCTCGGTCATTAGTGGCACTGAGGGCAATTATTTGGGGGCCCCTGCAGGCAGTGTTGGGAGTAACAGATTACATGTACCGGAGTGACTTAATCAGAGTACAAATTATGAGTAACTGTATTCAGTTACAGTTACTGTTTCAGTGAGTGGTTATTGGATTACAGTTACTTTGTTGAAATAAATGGATTACACGGCGGTAATTTCCTTTTTTCACATTTGGGGCTATATCCCTTTTTTTTTTATTTTTTCTGGTAATTCCACTCATTGCTGGACACTAAACCAGGTCTAAATCAGGTCTAAACCAGGTCTAAACCAGGTCTAAACCAGGTCTAAACCAGGTCTAAACCAGGACTAAACCAGGTAAACCAGGTCTAAACCAGGTCTAAACAAGGACTAAACCAGGTCTAAACCAGGTCTAAACCAGGTCTAAACAAGGACTAAACCAGGTCTAAACCAGGTCTAAACAAGGACTAAACCCGGACTAAACCAGGACTAAACCAGGTCTAAAACCAGGACTAAACCAGGTCTAAAACCAGGACTAAACCAGGTCTAAAACCAGGACTAAACCAGGACTAAACCAGGTCTAAACAGGTCTAAACCAGGTCTAAACCAGGTCTAAACCAGGTCTAAACCAGGACTAAACCAGGTCTAAACCAGGTCTAAACCAGGTCTAAACAAGGACTAAACCAGGTCTAAACCAGGTCTAAACAAGGACTAAACCAGGTCTAAACCAGGTCTAAACCAGGTCTAAACCAGGACTAAACCAGGTCTAAACCAGGTCTAAACAAGGACTAAACCAGGACTAAACCAGGACTAAACCAGGTCTAAACCAGGTCTAAACAAGGACTAAACCAGGTCTAAACCAGGTCTAAACCAGGTCTAAACAAGGACTAAACCAGGACTAAACCAGGACTAAACCAGGTCTAAACCAGGACTAAACCAGGACTAAACCAGGTCTAAACCAGGTCTAAACCAGGACTAAACCAGGTCTAAAACCAGGACTAAACCAGGTCTAAACAAGGACTAAACCAGGACTAAACCAGGCCTAAACCAGGTCTAAACAAGGACTAAACCCGGACTAAAGGACTAAACAGGTCTAAAACCAGGACTAAACCAGGACTAAACCAGGTCTAAACCACCAGGTCTAAACCAGGTCTAAACCAGGTAAACCAGGTCTAAACCAGGTCTAAACAAGGACTAAACCAGGAAACTAAACCAGGTCTAAACTAAACCAGGACTAAACCAGGTCTAAACCAGGTCTAACAGGTCTAAACCAGGACTAAACCAGTAAACCAGTCTAAACCAGTAAACTAACCCAGGTCTTAAACCAGTCTAAAAGGTCTAAACCAGGTAAACCAGGTTAAACCAGGTCTAAACCAAAGGTCTAAACCAGTTAAACCAGACTAAACCAGTAAACCAGTCTAAACAGGACTAAACCAGGACTAAACCAGGTAAACTAAACCAGGTCTAAACAAGGACAAACCAGGTCTAAACCAGGTCTAAACCAGGTCTAAACAAGGACTAAACCCGGACTAAACCAGGACTAAACCAGGTCTAAAACCAGGACTAAACCAGGACTAAACCAGGTCTAAAACCAGGACTAAACCAGGACTAAACCAGGTCTAAAACCAGGACTAAACCAGGTCTAAACAAGGACTAAACCAGGACTAAACCAGGCCTAAACCAGGTCTAAACAAGGACTAAACCCGGACTAAACCAGGACTAAACCAGGTCTAAAACCAGGACTAAACCAGGAATAAACCAGGTCTAAAACCAGGACTAAACCAGGACTAAACCAGGTCTAAAACCAGATCTAAATCCATGTCTAAACAAGGATTAAACCAGGACTAAACCAGGTCTATACCAGGACTAAACCCGAACTAAACCAGGACTAACCAGGTCTAAACAAGGACTAAACCAGGTCTAAAACAGAACTAAAGCAGGACTAAAACCATGTCTAAACCAGATCTAAACCAGGTCTAAACCAGGACTAAATCAGGACTAAACCATGTCTAAACCAGCAAATCAAGTAATCCAAAGTATTCAGATTACGTTACTCACTTTAAGTAAATTAAAGGATTACGTTACAAACTACATTTTGAGGTGTGTAATCTGTAATCTGTAGGGGAATACATTTTAAAAGTCACCTTCCCAACACTGCCTGCAGGTTTGATGTCTTCTATAGGCATTGTAACATATTATGACACCCCTGTTTCTCTTTGTAGGAGCGGACAGTAACTATCCGGAGACAGACCATCGGTGGGTTTGGCCTGAGCATCAAGGTAATTAAGATCTTTGACGATTAGCACAACGAACGGACACTACGAAACGACTCTGCTAAATGAAGTTTGAACAAGCTTTATCGATCATTGTCTTGTCAAACATCCCACTAGTCGCGCCATGGTGGAATCGATGTACTGGCCAATATTTTTCTATCTTTGGACCCGCTCTAGCTTAATTGCTGTGCTTTCCAGGGTGGAGCGGAGCACAAGATTCCTGTTGTCATCTCGAAAATATCAAAGGAACAAAAAGGTACAGTTTGTTGGTATAGATTTTGCTTTCAAGCTATCATTTCTTTTTTCGTAGATGTGGGAATTCTATATTTGACTTTTATGTTTTGCAGCTGAACTCTCCGGGTTACTTTTCATCGGCGACGGCATCCTTCAGGTATACGAAATGCCACAAGTACTATATGTATTTTAAAGGGCTCATATTACACTTACATCTGATCTATTATATGTTATAATGTTGTTTCCTCATCACAAACGGACCTGGAGTTGTGTTTTGTTTCATTCACACATGTTTAACACCCATTTTTGGGCTGATTGGGATTTTTTAAGTGGATGTACGCGATTTGTGATGTCATCGATGTTACCAGGTCTAAACCAGGTCTAAACCAGGTCTAAACTAGGTCTAAATCAGGACTAATCTTGGACTTGAGAGCGAGAGTGGTTTAGAACTAGTTTAGTCCTGTTTTAGTCCTGTTTTAGTCTTGTTTTAGTCCTGGTTCAGTTCTGGTTCAGTCCTGGTTTAGACCTGGTTTAGACCTGGTTTAGAACTAGTTTAGTCCTGTTTTAGTCCTGTCTTAGTCCTGTTTTAGTCCTGGTTCAGTTCTGGTTTAATCCCGGTTCAATCCTGGTTTAGTCCTGTTTTAGTCCTGTTTTAGTCCTGGTTCAGTTCTGGTTTAATCCTGGTTCAGTCCTGGTTTAGTCCTGTTTTAGTCCTGGTTCAGTTCTGGTTCAGTCCTGGTTTAAATCTGGTTTAGAACTGGTTTAGAACAAGTTTAGTTCTGTTTTAGTCCTGGTTCAGTCCTGGTTCAATCTTGTTTTAGTCCTGGTTCCGTTCTGGTTTAGTCCTTGTTTAGACCTGGTTTAGTCCTGGTTTAGTCCTGTTTTAGTCCTGGTTCAGTTCTGGTTTAGTCCTGTTTAGTCCTGGTTTAGACTTGGTTTAGTACTGGTTTAAACTTGGTTTAGTCCTGTTTGGTCCTGGTTTAGTCCTGGTTTAGACTTGGTTTAGTCCTGGTTTAAACTTGGTTTAGTCCTGTTTGGTCCTGGTTTAGTCCTGGTTTAGACTTGGTTTAGTCCTGGTTTAGACTTGGTTTAGTCCTGGTTTAGTCCTGGTTTAGACTTGGTTTAGTCCTGGTTTAGTCCTGGTTCAGTCCTGGTTCAGTCCTGGTTCAGTCTTGGTTCAGTCCTGGTTTAGACTTGGTTTAGTCCTGTTTTAGTCCTGGTTCCGTTCTGGTTTAGTCCTGGTTTAGTCCTGGTTCAGTCCTGGTTTAGTCCTGGTTTAGTCCTGGTTTAGACTTGGTTTAGTCCTGGTTCAGTCCTGGTTTAGACTTGGTTTAGTCCTGTTTTAGTCCTGGTTCAGTGGTTCAGTCCTGGTGCCTCATGTCTCAGGTCACTATAGGTCAGTAGTGCAGATATCATGAGTCTATGCCAGTTGTTTTACCAATAGCTCCGGTTTGACATTTAAGTTGTAGCTATTTTATATTTGTTATTTTTTTATATCTCATGTCGGGAGAAGTGGGTGGACCCCTGCGTACCACGCCCACTACACCCCTGCCTAACACTCACCCTTGTGATGTCAGAAAGTGCTCCACTGTGTTTTCAGAACTTAATACACCATCATTAATACACCATCTCTATTGAACAAAAGGTAAAAAGTAGCTGTTGACTTGAAAACTACTGCATCATGACATCGCAAGGTGGAACAAAGCATTTTCAGCTTTGGAGATGTAGACCAGTGTTTACCAAACTTTTTTGTCTGGGGACCCATATTTTAAAAGTCACAAACTTTAACAACCCAAGTCAATAGACATTATTGGTAAATCACAAAATAAAGGTGGATTTGAGCATTATTGAACATTATTGAGGATATTTTGACTGAGTGATTGTGTCTCTCTGAACAATTAGTATTACTCAAATTTTAAATACTGAAAAACAGTTATTGAAGCAGCAAGAAAAGGATCCATAAGTCGCTTATTTGGACATTGAATGTAGCCCATTTCTTTTTTTTTTCAACATTCAACTGAACCAGCAATATTGGAACAAAATAGTTAATAAAATAATTACAAAAAGATTAGAAATGATACAAAACATGTCTTAACATTTCAACATTTCTAATGAGATAAGTGGCCCTGTCTGCATTTTTGTAGTGCATTCCAGTCTGGGGTGCAAAAGTAGAGCGCAACACGTATATCAGGCTCAGCATTCAGTTTGTTTCTGCGTTTTGTCTTCTCTTAAATGAGCACAGAAAATTCCAATTCACACATATATGTCATAGTGAAAGGAACACGCATAAAAACACTGGCCCTACTGAGGACAGGAGATTCTGACAAAATGCTTATCCAGAATGATGATAAGGCCACAGATCCATGTAGACAACTGTATAGTGCAGACCTACATTCAAATATGTGACAAGGCGACCCCAAAAAAATCTCTTGCGGCCCACCTGAGGATCACGAGCCAGTCTTTGGAAAACAATGATGTAGACAGGCTAATAATGCAGGATTACTCAAACATGTATGCCTGAAACAAAACACAACTCCAGGTATGTTTATATGGATGCGACAACATTATAATATGGTTTAAAGCTCACAGGAGTCAATTCTGTGTAACATAGAGCCTGTAAATAATTCATACAGCATATATATAGTCAGTGTATATATACTCGGGCCTAAGGAAAATGTCATAGTCGTGGTGATTCGTTACTGTCATAGCAGAAAGATGTCCTCATTTAACTTGAGACATTTATAAACTCACCGCACAAGTTATTTAGGCTGTCTCATTAATCACTAACACAGGGATGGAGGGATGTTCAAATTGAAAAAAGTGGTCTTATTTGGACTAACCCGCGTCGCTGTTTTGTTCACAGATAAATGGAATAAACGTACGAAGCTATCGGCATGAAGAAGTGGTAAGATGTCAGTTTGTATCTAGTATTTTCTCACAACAAACTGCTCAGACGCCTTATCTGGGCCAGCGGTGATGTGAATCGGCCGTGACATACAGTACGGAGCATGTGAGGAGAGGTTTTTCTTCCTCATACAAAAGAACTGTAAGAGTGGTTTTACTGTCTGGTTTATTGGGGGAGGTGTTCAGGCTGTACAATATGTTTTGAAAATGTTGATACTGATTGATATTGGCAGTAATCAATATAGGAAAATAATGACATGTACTCTTTTTGGAAGGTAAAATATAAACAGAGATTTTTACTCATAATTTTCACTATGGCTACGTTCAGACTGCAGGGCTTAATGCCCAATTCCGATTTTTTTGTGAAATCATTTGTTTTTGCGAGGTTGTTCACATTTCCAATTAAATGTGACTTGTATGTGACTCCAGTGTGAACATTAAACGGCCCAAAAGTGTCCCGCATGTGCACTGGAGACACGATGACGTCAACCGCAGCGAGCGTGCTCTGTGTTTACAGAAGTTGTCCAAACATGGACGCAGCATCGAGCACCTGGAGATTTTAAAGTTCCTTTCGTACCAGAGCCAGAACATGAACAACTTACTTGTTTTAAGGAGGAGATTGAGAAGGAGAAGGATGAGGTTTTGGGCAGTGGGGTTTTGTGGATCAGTCAGTTGAAAGGAACGTGTGGATGCGGAGACGTAGCCAAGAGTGGTGAGTGGTGATGTGCTTCGCTTCAGTGGCACGGCGTTCATTAACAATTTTCCCCTACTTCAGCGCAGAATAGTGACGTCAAAAGATCAGATATGTATCGGTTTTAGGAGCACATATCGAAGTGGCCTGGGTCACATTTGAAAAATCGTATCTGTGTCGTTAAAAGATCAGGTACAGGTCACATAGGGACCAAAAAATCAGATTTGGGTCACTTCAGGCTGCAGTCTGACTGTAGCCTATGAGGGCTTTTTAATTCAGTTATTTGTATTTTTTGTTTAATTCAACTGACCATATTGCGTGGGAAAAGCCTATTAAAACATTAGAATGATTTCATTATTAAAATACAAAACATATTGGCCAAACCTCTTTGCCATAGCCTGATCTCGTCTCGTCTCAAAAGCTAAGACACTTCACCCACACTAGTATGAATGTGTAGTGTGTGTGAGTGGTAGGTTTGGCAAGATTGGTCATTTTAATCCCATCAGTCTACCCCAGAGCATCATATTGTTCAGACCTAATACCTAATATCATGTTGTTTTCCAGGTGCAGGTTTTAAGGAACGCAGGAGAAGAAGTGACTCTGACGGTTTCGTTTCTGAAGAAGACACCAGCTTTTCTCAAACTGCCCCTCTGCGAAGACTGTACCTGTAAGTGAAATACAATATACATACAAAAGACTATTAGGGTAACAAAGGATTCAAGGAAAAGAAAACTACTCCTGATATGATCACATAACCAGAGCTGTTGGAGTTCCTAGTTTATTTCTTTCTTTCTGCCTGTTGACCTTTATCACAAATAACAGTGTAGGGGCTGTTTGGATGGGAATGATTTGGACCACCAACCGTTTGTGAACAAATAAAAACTACATTTGCTAATGGGAATCACATGTTATGCAAAATTTTAAGAATTACTCATTCTATCAATTAAAACGTGCACTGTGTAACTTTTCTAGTGGAGGGTCTGTCGCTTGCTTAGACTGATTAGCCGGTTTTACTTTGTAGAAACCGTCTGACCTCACAGCATTAGTATTTGTTTGCTCAAAGGTAGGCGAGTACGTTTCTTATTTAACCAATTGCTGCTGTTTGGCTGTGATGCATTTAATGTGCCAAATCCCGTAGGAAGAAGGGCAATAATGTCTTTCCCCTTGATAAAATTCTCCAAACATTGTCTTTGTTCCGGCTTTAAATCCTCAATCTCAGGACTCGTTGCCAACACAGAATGTCTGTCTTCGTCTACATCCATCTCGACCTCTTTGTTTACTGTTGTGCTGTACCGGGGGTTCTCTAGTGTATTCTGATTCCTGGCCTAGTTGCTGGAGAGAAATTAAATTGAGTGGAGGCACTAGGTGGTGTTACTTTTGAGCACATTTTGACTTTCCCCTGTTTTTTTTTATTGTCTATATTTTTTGGGAGCATTTCTGCCTAGTTTTGTTTTTGTAAGTTGGTCATGTTTTTGTAGTTGTTTTTTTTTATACTCATTTCCGGCAGGAGCCCTTAAATGTGCGAGCCCGGCGCCGCCTCTCTCTCTGGCTCTCTCCTCCTCCTCGTCCACCACTGCAGGAGCGTGCACGCCTCGTGCCGGGAGCCGCCCTGCTGGCTCTCCTGCTCCTTCGTTCGGGTAACTTTTTTGTAAGCCATTAGCCTTTTGTTTTGACCTGGTGGGACCAGCTGTCCTGTTTTCGCTTTTCTGTTGGGTTTAGGTTGTTGGGTTTTTTTGGTCTTTAGTTATGGATGCTTGCACCGGCTCCTACAGCTCTGTATAGGGTTGGCCTGGTGTCACACCCTTTTTGTTCTTTTTGGCGAGCTCATTAGGTCCACCTTTCTGTTGTTACTTTTCTTGGTTTCTTGGTTTGGGCAAGAGTTCGGGTTAAGAGTTTCTTTTTGGGTTTAAAAAACATCTTCACAGAAAGAAAAAATAAAAAAGCTCTAAACTTTAATTTGGTTTCCGTGTCCTTTTAAAATATGTTGGGACTCATCTTCCTGGGTCGTAACAGGTGGCTCCAACCTCGCTACCACTTGCTTGTCCCCATGGAGATATTACTGCTGTGCTTGGAATGTTCCACAGTATGCCATTAAAGCTATCTATCCCCATGGAAACATAAAGGTGATGCTATTAGACGTCAGAACTACTCACAGAACAGATCTGTGGAAAGGTGAGCCCGTTCACAGTAATACTTTTCAAGGCATTCAGCGAGAATGAAATTAACTTGGAAACATCTTAAAGTTTAAAGGAATCATGATGTAAAAACACGAGCCCCATTGGCCCAGGGCTTCAGCAACTTTTAATGAGGTAAAAATAATGGCAGGGTCACATTGAGACAAAGCTGAAGGTGGACTATATAGACTTAGCACAAAATTATTGACTCTGGAGGGTGAATTGTGCAGCGGTGAGATGGTGCTTTTCATTAAATTAAACAGGAAAGGTCAGGAGTCGTTGGTAAAGAGAAAAATATCAGCTTTAAATTACCCCACATTAAAACAAATAGTAGAATCGTGCAGTGCTGGAGGTCGCATCTATAATGAATCCATTCACACATTTCACAGACACACTCCGGTTCGACTCAAGTGAAAAGAGACACATCTTTTTCTTTCTCATTTCAATGGATTCTTAACCTGAGTTAGATTGAACTAACACAAGAAACAAAAAACAACAAAAGTAATGAAAAAGTTTAGTACCATAATAGCAATCTGTTTTTAATTAGTGTAATAGTGTATTTACATAACACAATTTGAATGGTTAAATGGATCCCCATTTGTCTCTGTGATTAATTTGAGCTTCTGTCACACAGACAAATCCTGCATACACCTTCACTAGCATCATTTGGATCATTTCAGCCCTGGAATTACCAAACTCTACTGAACTAAATGTAAATGGTATCTGTTAACCTGAAAACTTCCACTACATGACATCATGAGGTAGAACAAAGCATTTTGAGCTTTAGAGATGTAGGAACTAATAGGAGACTAATAAAGATTTAGATATGTGTACCGTATTTTAAGACTAGAAGTCGCTCCAAAGTATAAGTCGCACCAGCCAAAAAATGCATAATGAAGAAGAAAAAACATATAAGTCGCACCGGACTATAAGTCGCACTTTTTGGGGGAACAGAGAACAACAGGCTGTTAACGTCACATATGAACAGTTACTGAGAAAACTATAGTATACAACAACAGAAGAGAACAGGTTTACCAAACTCTCCATCTCACTCCAACTCACTAAATCCATTGAATTCTTCATACTCAGGGTCACTTCTGAGCAACTCTGCAACCTCCAGAGGTAAACAGAGTCCCTTTACCTCCTCTGTGTAGCTGTTGTCAGACTCAGCATCAGTTAGAATTATTCCGGCCTTTCTGAATCCCGACAGGATGGTTTCGGTGTCACTGAAGTCCAGGCTTTGTCGGTCCATCCAGTGACTTGCAGGAAAGTTGCATGGTGCACCCTCCCAGTTACCGTGAAGCTGTGTTCTCTCTCCCCGCCTTTCGCCAGTCCCTCACAAGTTTCTTGCTCACTCCAAACTTTCTTTCTGCTGATTAATTACCATTTTCAGCTGCATATTTCACTACTTGCAGCAGGACAGAGGCTCTTTCTGCTGGAGACATGCACAGAGTGAAGTGACAGTGGTACAGGAGTAATAGGAGCAGCAGATACTGACACACAAGACTAGAGCTTTCTGGAGGCTGTCAGTGTGAAAATATATAATATATAAGTCACAGCGGTGTAAGTCGCAGGACCACCCAAAACATGAAAAAAAGTGAGTTTTACATAATATAGAACCTTAAAATAAAAGTATAAAGTACACATGAAGAATACTAATGAAAGTAGAAGTTACTACTTTACACAAATACTTGTACTTGCACAAGTTTAAACCAGCCCTATACACAAAACTAAATTAACTGATCTATTTAAAGCATATGTGTCTTTTAATTTACAGAAAGGAGAAGAGATAGCTGTGAGTCGTGTGAGTCGTGTACTCAGTTATTCCTATTATTTTAAATATAACTGATTAAAATTCTATAACCATAATCAATATATCAATGTAAGTTCAAGTACATCCTGCTCAAAAAAAGTACAACTTCCGCCAAAACCTTCTCTATACTAGAAATGTGAGTACCAGTATTTATAGTTAGTTACTTGTCCTACATATTGATAAAGAAAAACACCCATCTTTAGAAATGCTCTTTGAAACAAACAGATACAAAAGCTTCAGATCCCATGAAAGAACCTTAAGCCCCATCTCTCTGTGTACCTCCTATAGCTGCTGTGTTTTTCTTCATCTATTATATATTGTGTTGTACACAGGTCCGCTTGATGACGCAGGTCTCACATGTATCCACAGTGGACACACACACAGCCGTCTCCATGCAGCTGTAAACTTTCTTAGAATTTTCATTTCATGTGTGAGACTTTTGAAGGTCGTGTTAATTCCTGTGGGACTGGTTAAAATGTCAGAATATGTGTAGGTTCATGAAAGGAAAATGATAACATACTCAGAAGGCTGAATATTGAAGTAAGTATTGATCGGAGTACAGGTCTAGGCACTGATTTTATATGCATGCAAGGTATCATTATCATCATAGTTTCACACAATGTACACCATGTATTACTCGGATTGGTTAATACCACTAATTCTGCCCATTGGAACTTAATGAAACTGTGTGTAGCCTTTGATCTTCTAGCTTTCAAGTACAGCAGTCACAAGAGAACCTGGGTTACACATAAAGTTTTGACATGCTCAGTCTGTGGACAGCTCAGAACCTCCAGAATTCCCTCACTGAGCTGCAGAGGCTCTAGCACTGGTTAATGATAGGCTGCAGGTGAGTTTAGGTAGTGACCATTCAGATCAGAGAGAGACATTTAAGGTTTAAACCAGGGGTCTCCAACCTTTTTCCTCTGGTGAGCTCCCTTTACAAAACAAAAATGCCAGACAGCCACTTATTATATTACATAAGATTATAAGAAAGAGGGCACAAGCCTTTGGTGCAGTTAGACACCCATAAAACATAAACCATTATCCATTTGTTAGTGCTCAAATTTGGGCTTCAAAATTATACATTTACAATGATAATAGGCATGTAATTAACCAAATTTTTGTTATTCAGCACAGTGGTATCATTTCAAAATCCAAAATATAAATATAAGTATTATTGGTGCAAAAACGCTTTGTTTGAATTGCAACTCATTCTATGCCACTAACATCGTCTGCTCATTTATTCACCAAACTTAACATTCTTAATACTTACAGGATTAATATTTATCAAATTTGTATTTTTATGTATTAAATTCTTTACAATTCAACAACGATCCCCGAACATTTCACATTTTATTTTAAAACCAATGCAGAGATTCATAGATACAAAACTCATCAAATTCATAATTTTCATGTTCCAAAATGTGTCACATCAAGAGCTCAGTTTTGCTACGATACAGAGGCTGTAAATTCTGGAGCCAGTTTTCACATCTGGTTAGTGACGCAGATCAGAGGCGTTGTTTAAAAAGAGTTTGAGGAAATGTTTGATATTTCATGCTAATGTTTGATAATCTTTCAATTGTGGATGTTTCATTGTGTTTTAATCCATGTTTGAATCAAAAGAATTTAATCCATGATGTTTAAATGTTACTTTTCTAGAAAACATTTTTATGCACAATGATAATGTAAAATGTTTTATGTATTCATAAGGTTGAGGCTTTAATATAAGCCCTATTGGGTTTTTTGCCTCTTCCGGCACCTACTTTTTATCTAGTGTATTTCTTTTTATTGTCATGTTATATGTGCAAAATAAATAAATAAATAAATCCCTTGGTGAGCTACTTGTAAAGGGGTTAGAGCTACAGGTTGGAGACCCCTGCTTTAAACCAAGTGGATTTCAGCATTGAAACTCATACGAGGTTCATTCTGCTTCCTGTTTGGATAATCATTTTGAACAACATAAACAACATGGCCATCATCCCCAACGATTTTGTAATTATAAATCAGCATTACAAACATTATCAGTAAACGCTGTATTTGATTTGAACGTGTTTACTTTGTACATGGGGACACAGATAGGTCATGTTTTAAATTAAAGATCTAAATCTTACATATGCTTCCTTTAATAGACTGATAAGAATACACATTGATTTTATGTATAATAGGAATATAGTCTTGTCTGTCCAGGCTACATCCAAAACACTGCAACATAGTTCGAATTAGAGCTGCACCGATACAATACTGATATAGAAATATAAGATGGATCAAATATTGGTTCCAAGATATCGATTCAATGAATATCCAATTTTGAGTCTATAAACTGGTGTAATATGATGATTTACTGGACGATGTTGGCCCAAAACACATCATGTTATTGAACTTTTGTTTTTCAAAGCTGTTCTGTAGTTGCTTTAAATGATTTAGTAATGTTTAACCATTTATATTAAGGAAATGTATTGTATTTTCAGTCTCTGCCCTAGCATCAGTTGATATCAGGTATCAGCAGATGCTTAAAGTCAAAGTATCAGTATCGGTATCGGAACAGAAAAGACTGAATCGGTGCATCCCTTGTTAAAATGCCTTGGTGAGAGTTTGTGGATGTTGTCATCCTTTTAGACGTTGTTATACTTTGACAAGATTTATAATTAAGCATTATAATGATTTGATAAAATGTTTTCCGATGTTTTCTTTATCCGACCCAAATAAGCTGTCACAGAAAGCTAAATAATGAACCTGTCTGTATTTTTGTGGTCGTCCTGGAGATTCTTACCCGAGGGGACACACTGTCAAAACACTCATTAAACTGGCCTCTTAATTTGGAACAGAAAGCAGTGTTTTTGCATGGAAATAAAGAAGGCGTGAGTCCTTGTGGTTTAGTGAATAGATAGCAGAAGAATATAGGCCAGTGTTGGCAGCAGCAGAGAGACTCAGATGGAGAGATGGGGCAGTGTAATAATACTGAGGTCTGAGGGGGAGTCTCATATGATTGGTTTGCTGTGTGTTCTTACAGGTATTCCCAGTGACCAGAGCAGTGGAACCTCCTCTCCTCTGTGTGACAGCGGACTGCACTTGAACTACCACCCCAACAATACGGTATGTCCTATATACAAGAAGTAGTAGTTGTAGTAGTAGTAGCAGCATTAGTAGCAACAATAATAGTAGTAGTAACTGTAGTAACTGTTGCAGTAGTGGCAGTAGTGGTGGTAGTATAGATTGGTGGTGCGATTCCAGCTCCCACAGATGAATGATGTTAGTGTGTCCTTGGGCAAGACACTTAACCCACCTCACCCCTAGTGTCTGTATACACTGGAGTATAAATGTGTGTGTGAATGGGTGAGTGGTTCCTTGATGTAAAGTGCCTTGAGACTGGAAAAGAGCTATAAAAAAATGTGACCATTTACCATTTAGTAACAGTAACAGTAGTAACAGTAGTAGTAATAGTAGTAGCAGTAGTAGTAGTACTATTAGTAGCAGTAGTACTTATAGCACTTAGTACTTATAGCAGTAGTAACAGTAGTACTAATCAAACATTCCAGAAGTTGTGTTTTGTTTTATTCACACATGTTTGATTAACTCTTTATTATTAGTCTTCCAAAGCTCAAAATGCTCTGTTCCACCTTATGATGTCATGAAGAGATAGTGTTCATTTGTAGAGATTGGCAATTATGTTACGACCACGAGTTATCCCCCTGAAAAAGGGGTAGTAAATAAAAGAGCTGTTGTTCAGGTCTCTGGTCAGTGGTTTTAATGACAAATATTAATTATAATGTAACTTTTTTTACACACTTGGTACACCTAAAGCACATAATTACCTGAAAAAGGAGGATAAAACTTGAGAAAATAAAAGAGCTGTTGTTCAGGTCTTAAGCCAGTGGTTTTAATGACCCAAGACCGAACTGGAGCTCCCCCTGCTGTTTACAGGACTGGATATGCTTCATAAAAACCCAAATCTTTCTCCAACATCAGAAAACAGTATAATATAATATAACCATGCAATATAAATAATAATCATGCACCAATAAAATGAAATTACCTTTTAAAATAAATCCTATTGCGAATTCTATATTTAACAGTAATAAAGCCCCGTCCCTAAAGTTTGATCCCGTCAGATCTCAGAAGCTCAGCAGGGCCGGGCCTGGTTAGTACTGTGATGGGAGACACTGGGAAAATCAGGAGCCACAGTGGGACACCAGTCACAAAAACTGTTGCTGTGTCCTTAGGTAAGGCACTTCACCCTCATTGCCTAGTATGAAAGTGGTGTGTGTGTGAGTGATGGTGGTGGTCAGAGGGACCAATGGCGCAGACTGACAGCCTCACTTCCGTCAATCTGCTTCTGTCAGGGCAGTTGTGGCTATAGTAGTAGCTAACCATCACCGGGTATGGAGTGAATGAATAATGCTCTGTAAAGTGTCTTTGAGTGTCCAAAAAAGCACTATATAAACTGATGCATTATTATTATTTATTATTATTATTAATAATAATATTGTAGTGTAAATTTATATAATTTTTAAATTGTCTTATTTTACAACCATTACAATTCCAGGTCTGAAATTCCAGTGAAGATGTATGGCATTTAAAAACACCGTGGAACACTTCCTGTATTACCACATGACATCACAAGGTGGAACAGAGTGTTTTTTGTTTAAGAGAACTCAGTCTAAATATGCAAGGTTTGTGTGCTAAATGTGTGAATGAAACAACACACAACTCCAGGTCTGTTTTTGATAAGGAAACAACATGATAACAGAGATTAGAAAATAGTAAGTAAGTACGTTTTTATTTATATAGTGCTTTTCACAGACATATGTCACAAAGACGCTTTACAGTGCATTATAGATTCATTATTCTTTTCTCTCCACACCTGGTGATGGTAAAATACTATTGTAGCCACAGCTGCCCTGGGACATACTGATGGAAGCGCAGCTGCCAGGCCAATCGGCGCCATCGGTCCCTCCGACCACCACTATCACTCACGCACACTCCACTTTCATACTGGGCAATGTGGGTGAAGTGTCTTGCCTAATGACACAACAAGAGATTTTGTGACTGGCGCCCCCCTGTGGCACCTGATTTTCCCAGCAGTCTCCCATCCAAGTACTAACCAGGCCCGGCCTTGCTTAAATAGCGTAATATGGGCCCTTTAATGTACATAGTGAAGAGCCTTTTTGTCAACACAATCACATCTCCATGGAGACAATCAGACGGCAGAATGTCCTCCAGAAAAGTTACTGTTCACACTGAGAGAAATCTTTTTACAGGCAAATGTGATATGGCTCAACAAATAATTGAGTATGTAATTATGAGTGAGAAACATGGACAGTTTTTCATTGCTCTTCTGCGACACAAAAAAAGAATATTGACAAAACTAGACAAGAATGAATTGAAGTGTTTTAGGAACCATGAAAAGAGCTTTGAGATGGCAATAAATCAAAATGAGAAACTTATTATCTTGTTATCTATTGTTATTTGTAGAGCTTTTGCGAGCGCTAGTAACACTTCTATTTTAATGTCACCTTTTGTAATTCACAATTCTGCTAATACCTCATACTTTGTCAACAGCTTTTCATGTACAAATATTATAAATTGGCATCATTCATGTCATTGTGCTCATAATTTTCTTTGCGATATATAAATGTTAATGAGGTTAAGATAATAACAGTAATAAATTTCCTCACAGTTAATAGAATATTTCATTTAATACATTATAAAAATAGTAATTCGTTAATCAAGTTAGAAGAAACATGTTTATAAATCTCATATTTTCTCAATATGAATGTTACTGAACCAAAAGAAAGATAGAGAAATTGCTGCTTTATAATTATAATTCTCTGCTGCTGTAGGTGAACAGGAAATAATCTTAATTAGAGATATTAATTTGAAACTTCTCTTACATAAGTATAAGAAAAAAAAATGTATTATAAGTTTTTTCTCATGTATTGATGCCTGAAAATTTTAATCTTACTCTATTTTTTAGTTAAACTTTTCAATAAATTAGACTTGGAATTACATATCAAAACATTTTTCTACACATTTCATCAAAATCTTGTGTAAATACAAAATAGTTTGGTGTATGTAGGTGCTATTTTAAATACTGATCCTTGTCCCTATGGGGAAAAATGCATTTTGAGTAAACAGCTTTTAAAATTAAGAGTTGATTAAAGTAAATATTAAAACATCTTTCAGTTATAACAAATGATGTACCGTATTTTACGCACTATAAGGCATTCTGTCACTGAATGGTCTATTTTCAAACTTTTTTCACATATAAACCGCACCGGACTATAAGGCGCATTAAACGAAACACAACAGTTAGATAAGTCAGTCAAACTTTATTTAACACGTCAACTTTGTTCAGTTGTAACATGCAAAAAAAAAATCCTCATCCCTCATCATTATCCGAGTCAGTGTTGTTACTGTTACCCGGTCTTGGTGAAAGTTCGGACCACAGTTGATACTGATCCTTAGCTCGGGCGTCCACGATCCGTTGGCAGATCGTGGCGTAAGTCGCTCTGCGCTGTCTCCCTGTCTTGGTGAATGTGTGTTCACCTTCTTACATCCACTGCTCCCACGCAACTCGCAGTTGCTTAAGAGAAGAGAAGAGCTTAAAAGAAACCAGATCTGTAACCACTAATGTTATGGTCCTATGTAAATGTCAGTGTTGTATGTCATGCTTGTGTGTTTGTCTATTGTGACGCGTTTTATGTTCTGTTTTATGTTTTATGTCTCTATCTCTCTGACCTGCCAGGGACTACAGATGAAAAGTAGCCTTTGTGCTAATTCTGGCGTATTTACAAGTATATGTTCATGAATATGCATTGTCCCTTTTAAATAAATAAAACTAAAAAAAAAAAAAGTTCAATTTTATAATAGCCTTGAGTTTAAAGTCGGGGTCGTAACTGTGTCTCTTGACAGGTGCATTTTGATATTAAAAGGAATCACAGTATGTATTACTCCACGATGCTCCTGACTACGGTAGCCATAATGCTGAAGTGGTGCGGCTTTGTAGTTTACTAAAGTCGTACTAAGACACCCCAATAAATTCATATATAAGGCGCTCTGGATTATAAAGCGCACAGTGGTTTTTTGATGAAATTAAAGGCTTTTAAGTGCGGAAAATACGGTAGTACCAACCAAACTGACCAAAAACTAAATTAAAAAGATGAGTATTGCCTGTAGTGTCTCCCCTTAAATATTATGGCATGCCTTGATAAACTACAGCTAGAATTTAAAAATGAGCTCAAAAAGTTCAAGCCATCCTTCAACCCTTCACTGCATGTAGATGAATGAAGCACCTACACCACAGGCTCGGACCTCTCCCCTGGGTGAGTAGAAAATGTGACATGTGAAATCGTCCAGGTTAAGATCTCCTGTTGTCTGCTACAGGACACTCTGTCTTGCTCGTCGTGGCCCACCTCCCCAGGCCTGCGCTGGGAGAAGAGATGGGTAGACCTGCGCCTCATCCCCCTGCTCCACTCACGCTTATCCCAGTACATGCCGGGCTCAGACGTCTGCAGGTGAGCAATGCATTCTGGGTAAAATGCATACTTAAAGTGGGACAAAACACCTAAACTCAAGCATGCCCAAGTTTCAAATAGAGCGGCTAAACTGGGCAGTGCCTGGAGGACTAAAAGTACAAGTGAGAGAGGAGGAGGGGCGGGGTCTGGAGGTATAAGGGGCACTGTGATTGGTCTCACAGGTATACAGACTTCAAACTCTGACTGTAATCAGGGCAGTGCTGCATGATGTCACCAACTACTGGAAATCACTGCCACTGGAGGCAGCAAAAAACAAATTTTTATACATTTTTGACCAGAAAGCTGCAAATCTACCTAGTCTGCACAAAAGGAACTATAGACAATGGTATGAAAATGTGTGTTTAGTTCCAGTTTAAAATGGATAGAACAACTGCAGCGTTTATAGGTGGACAGTTTACGAAAGTGGCTGTACCTGATTTTTTTCTCCATATATCTGAGCAATATTTGTCTTGTCCCATTACAGTTCGGCTACGTTCAGACTGCAGGGCTTAATGCTCAGTTTGGTGTTTTTTGGCGAGGTCGTTCACATTTCCAATTAAATGTGACTTGTATATGATCTCCAGTGTGAACTTTAAACACCCAAAAAGTGTCCCGCATGCGCATTGGATGACACGACGATGTCACACGCAGCGAGGGCGCTCAGTGTTTACAGAAGTCACCTAAATGCTGGGCTTGTCTCCCAAAATATGGTCCAGCTCTTCGTAAAATGAACACGTTACAAGTCCACGGTTGCTTCGTTTGTTTGAGTCTTTATCTTCCTTGTATTTGGCTCACAGGCTCTTTATTTCTTGTTGACATTGGAGCCAGAACCACCTGTAGCAGCATTCGGACATTTCTTTGGCAATCATTTCAAAAACCGCCCCGTTCTGATAAGACCTCTCCAATTTGGCCTGAATACATCGATTTCCCCAAATATTAACAACGCTTTCCCTCCGTTGACTAGACTCCGAGCCTGACTTGTAGGTGGAATGAATGCGACCTGGTGGTTCAGACTGAAGTCACATGTCAAAAGATTGGATATGTATCAGTTTTAGGAGCACATATCCAAGTGGCCTGGGTCGCATTTGAAAAAATCGGATCTATGTCGTTCAGACTGTCATTAAAAAGATCGGATAGAGGTTTGGAGTGAAAAAACTGGATTTGGGTCACTTCAGGCTGCAGTCTGAGCGTAGCGTTATATTGTAAAAGCAGATCTTGAGGTCAAAATAAAACCGCTGTGTATTGTCCTCATCTAATTACAAAAGCGTTTTTATCGTCCAAGAATCAAGAAGTGTACTGTTAGCATGCTAGTTGTTATCATTACCGTGACACAAAACTTCGCTGTGGCCTCTGACAGTTGTTAAATCTGCTTATACACTCATTGTGAATAATTAGGATGCTCAGACTGGATAATGGAAGTGAGGACTATAATGTCACTTTAGATAAGAGCATTTGTGAGTTTGTTATTAGCACCTTTGGCTCATAAGAACAGTGTAAACAGTGTCTTTTTAATTAAATCTTATTTTTTTCCTCACTGGATTTTTTCAATATATGTGCCGCAAATTATTTCTTTCACCTTAAAGGCATTTCTGATGAATAATTAAAATTTTATTAAAACTGTGTCAGAAGGAGGAATAGGAAATATTTAAAACAACACATTTTAAATAGTTGGACTATAGAAGTTACCTAGCAAGGTCTTTTCAGTTTTTATTTACATTTACAATCTTTATCCAAATTGCCACTAATTTCTTGAAAATAGATTTGTGGATAGTTGCAAGTTGGTGTTACATTGCGTATTGCTTATTTTTTTATTATTCATTGTGTCAAAGTGCAGTCTGATTTTGCATTAATTTTCTTAAAGTGGATGAGCAGAAAAAAAGACACGGTTTAATTCTGAAGAAGAACACAATGGTGTCGGAGAATAGCATCTTAAAATGTTGGGAGTTTGAACCATGGGTACGTTTAATTAAACACTTCTTTGTTTGGGTCACACAAAAGAGGCTTCTTTGCTTGTCTTTTTAAACTTCTAAAAATAGCTGAGTCTCAAAGGAAAGTAAGTTTTGAAACTTTGAAAATACAACGCTCATCTTTTATATGGAAATGTAGTTTGACCTTACACAAAACCGTAAAACAGTGGTAGAAAAGATGACACAGCAAGCGATTGTTACCGGCCTCCTCTGGGAGCGATTTGTTACAATGAAAACATTCATAAGCTCTTGTGGCTAAATGTAGTTTCTATCTTTGGCTTCTTTTTCTTAGGAAAAATGCCTTCCAGGTCATAGCCGTGGACGGGGTGTGCTCCGGAGTCATTCAGTTCCAAACCACAGACGACTGCTTGGACTGGCTCCAGGCCATCGCCAGCAACATCTCCAACCTCACCAAGCACAATGTGAGTGTCACATCTCCAACCTCACCAAGCACAATGTGAGTGTCACATCTCCAACCTCACCAAGCACAATGTGAGTGTCACATCTCCAACCTCACCAAGCACAATGTGAGTGTCACATCTCCAACCTCACCAAGCACAATGTGAGTGTCACATCTCCAACCTTCATATTTCTAAGCTTGTGAAGTCTGACAGTCTGTCAGCTAATTTTCACAGACCTTGAGCAAGTATTAATCAATACAACATTATATTCTCCAAGAGTAAATTTTATAAAATTCATCTGAATAATTTGGTTTGTCCAAAGTATGGTTACTATAGCAACTTGTGCCAAAGCATCTGGGTATGCGCAGTTTGAAAAACAGTGTATGGATCCAAATCAGGCAGTGACACTCTCCAAGCACAAGCCACGTGAGTGTCACATTTCCATTTATTTCACATCTCATGTATTGATTTTATTTATTTATTTGTTGCAATTGCAAATGGCGGTATTGATGTTGTGATTTTCTATAGGCACTCAAAGCAATTCACATCAAGGCTCTATTCACATGTGGCATTCAGTAGATTAAGTGCATTGTCCATGGACCCTTGGTTGGTAACATGAAGCCTCATTCATGAATATTTTCTTAGAAAATGTTCACAACTCCCACTTTAGGAAGATACAAAGAGACTTCTCACTCTTAATTAAGCAGCCAAAATGAATCTGGATTTGCATTTTTAAGAAATGGCCTCTAAACATAAGAGAGACTGTTTTTCCATCTTCCATATATTTTTGTTAAGAACTCATTTGGGGTTTGTGCTAAAAACCTTCATATGCACTTTTCTCTCTTTTTTGCTATTGCTGCCACTCAGTTAAACCTAATGGTGATAATGTCTATTGGATTGTCTTAATACTTACACATTTAGTTTTTATCTTGCTCTCAAACAGAGTCTGTGAGAGCACACTGTACGAATATCCCCAGAGTACTGCAGCATCATGACCCATACCTGAGCTGCTCACACATGTGCCACTAATGAAACAAAGATCTTGTTTACACTGAACATACAGTAATTGTCTCACACTTTTTGTTTGTGTGATTCAAGATGTGTTCCGGAGAGTAGTCAGATCAGACTGTCTTTGAACCTCAGACAACATGGGGCACTCATTAGTGAGAACTTCACCATCAAACAAGTGCATGAAGCAAGTCCCATTTTAGACACAGCTTTTGAGAAGAGGTTACCCATCTCCATGAATTTGCATGTAGGTTAATAATATAACCTTTGAAATTCTACTTGCACAATAAAATTAAATACATTTCATTAAAATCTAGGGTAAATATTTTTGACAGATGTTCTTCTCTGCTCAAGATATCAAAATAAGAAAAGCACCCAACTCCTTGATAAAGTGAATGAGTCTGGCTTGCAACACTTAAAAAAAACATATTATGCATTCTCGTGGCATACTCTTTTAGACATACTTTTGGTCACCTCGGGATAAGTATTTTCCATTTTCTAACTTAAAATATACTACTATAGCTATATAGATTATCAGTGTATATTTACCTGTCTGTGTATCTACCTCACCTGTTTCCAGTGAGGTATTTAAGCATTGGAGCTCCCTCTACTGTCAGCAACGGGAATGAACAAAAACTAAACAAATCTGATTGTTGTGAACACACTTTGATCACAGAAGAGTCTGGTGATGGTTTATGGTGTTAAAATAGGAGGAGATAGATTATCTGTGACACAACTAAACAGGCAAAATATGAGCAGAGCATTTTTGAGCGCTCAGAGAAGACTATTTTGGATTGTCAGATAAAGACTATTAGGGGTGAAGTTAACTGGAGGCTCTGCTCTGAAGCTCGGTTACTCAAATTACACTTTAATCTGATCTTTGTTTTAACACAATTTGACCAAGAGCTGATTAGCTGGAATTACAATAGGCTGATTTGTGCCGCATGTCCCTTTCAGTTTACATTAGTCAAACACTAGTCACTATACTATTTTTTTCACTCTCACCTTTTTTGTTGAAAATCAGACTCCTAAAGGACTATGAATGCTTGTATTGATCTCAGGATTCTGGAAATGTGCTGTTTGAATCAATTTAGTATTTTTCCTTCAGTTTGCAGATAATTTCACAACCTTCTGAACCAGCTTTCAGTCTCTTTAAAAACATGAACTCTCTAACTCCAGATAGCAACTGCATACAATTATCTTGTAACATGTCCTTTGCTTTTAGCCTATGTCAGCAGCAGTCTGGAATTATCCTGCCATTAACTTTATACCTTTAGATTCACATTCCTACAGGGACACATTAGCCCCGCTGTCCTGTATGTCTGTACTTTTACTGCCATCATATAAACCAATGAGACACCGGTTTGAGCCTTAATACCTCCATTTTTCAATTTGTGCCTGGTATAACAGCCTCTCTGCTATTTTCACAGCGTTAGAGAGACACGCTAATGACTTCTCACACCCCACACACACTCACATCTCTAAGCCTAAGGTTATTCTGTACCACTGCCAGCCATTGCATTGTATTGTAGCTACTATTCATCATAATAAATTATATAGTAATGATACCGGGCGGCGAAAAACAAAACAACAGTAACAGGGCTATTATGGGGCGCATATTTTCTACCTCCATACTTTGAGTGATGCTGAAGTGGGTTTCCGCTTGGTTTGCTATAGTCAGCAGGGAAGTCAGTCGTGAATATGGCTAACAAGCAGCATCAGATGTAGCCAGCATATTGTATTTGACATCGATGACAATTTAGCTAGAACTCATAGTTAGATTTTTCTCCTGTTTAGGATAATTCTGCCACATTATAACTCCCCATTGTGATGTCATACAGCATCCTGCACGAGTCCATTACAGCACCACACCCGCCTGTTAATCCATGATTATATCCAGTGTTGGGAAGGTGACTTTTAAAATGTATTCCCTTACTGATTACAGATTACATACCCCAAAATGTAGTTTGTAACGTAATCTATTAAATTACTTAAAGTGAGTAACGTAATCTGAATACTTTGGATTACTTGATTTGCTGTAGAGAAGCAAAGACCAGAATATCTTCACTTAAGATGTTTTGTCTGCTAAAAGAAACTGAAAAGCCCAGACTTTACTTAACCATATTAAAAATATTATTGATAGAAGGAGACACGGTCTGCGCAGCCTGGTTTAGTCCTGTTAAATCCTGTTTTAGACCTGGTTTAGACCTGGTTTAGTCCTAGTTTAGTACAGTTTTAGACCTGGTTTCGACCTGGTTTAGTCCTAGTTTAGTCCTGATTTAGATCTGGTTTAGACCTGGATTAGATGTGTTTAGACCTGCTTTTAGACCTGGTGTTAGTCCTGGTTTAGACCTGGTTTAGACCTGGTTTAGATGTGGTTTAGACCTGGTTTTAGTCCTGGTTTAGACCTGGTTTAGACCTGGTTTAGATGTGGTTTAGACCTGGTTTTAGTCCTGGTTTAATCCTGGTTTAGTCCTGGTTTAGACCTAATTTACACCTGGTTTAGACCTGGTTTAATGTCTGGAAATGAGTGGAATTACCAAACAAACAAACAAACAAAAAAGAAAAGAAAAGGGAATAGCCCAAAATGTAAAAACAGGAAAATACCGTTGTGTAATCCATTTATTTCAACCAAGTAACTGTAATCCAATTACCACACATTGAAACAGTAACTGTAACTGAATACAGTTACTCATAATCTGTACTCTGATTATGTAACTCCGGTACATGTAATCTGTTACTCCCCAACACTGATTATATCTAAATTAAATCCACACTCATTCGGACCCGTTGACATTCCACCCATTTTATTACAGGCCTGTGCCCGTGATAAATCGGGGTCAGCCCATTAGTCCGACAGCCTAATAGTCTAGGACTAAACCAGGACTAAACCAGGACAGAATTTAGGTTGTGCCATCATGCGGATTATAAATATGTACATGCCGCTACTGCAGAGCCAATCTTTGCAGTAATGCTGGGAGTTTATGCATGCACAGGGTGACCAGATGTCCTTATTTACCCGGGACAGTCACAGTTTTGAGCCCTGTGTCCCCTGTCCCAGCAAATTTATACAAGAAATGTTCCAGATGTCCCTATTTTTTGACCAATTTGATCTAAACCAGGACAACATCAGGACTAAACCAGGACTAAAATAGGACACATACAGTCTTTCACTACTATATTTTTCAAACTATAAGGCATACCAGATTATAAGGCGCAATATCAGTAATGTTGATTTCTCTCATTTATTTTCATACATAAGGTGCACTGGATTATAATGCACATTATGCGAAATAAACCATTGGCAGATCGTGGCGTAACACACCTGGTATTGCCTCCCTGTCTTGGTGAATGTGCTTTACTCCGCGAGGCTCCTGACTACAGTAGCCGTAATGCTCTGACAATCCATCAAACGGTGCAGCTTCATAGTAGAGCCCGGCTCCCGCGAGACCCGACGCAAAACAGTGCAGCATGGGACACATTTTGAAAGCTAATTGCGGGCACGGGCGGGAGCTTGAATGTGGGATGATAAACTACAGTCCCGCAAACTAAATATGAATGTAAAGTAAAATATACAAATGACTAATGTATGTCTATCATGCATCATTTGTGCTGGATATTTTATTTGGCATGAATAGAAACATTTTAAGCAGCCTAAACTTGAGGATGTGGTCTAATCTCACGCGAATTTAGACAATTTCTTTCCACATTCTTTGCGGGTGCGGGTGGGAGCCTGACTGAAAATTCTGTCCCGCACAGATCTCTATTTCATAGTTTACCAAAGTCATACTAAAATATTTTGACAGAGCGCCATGTACAACATAAAATCGGTCTGAGGTCAGTAAGCACAACCAGAATTATACCAGATTATGAGGCACACTGTTGATTTTTGAGAAAATTAAAGCATTTTAAGTGCACCTTATAGTCCAAAAAATACGGTAATCAGATTCTCGCCAACAAAAAGAGGAGCATACATTTTCATTTGTTCAACCAAAATACACAAAACCATGTTT